TCCTCATAAAGAGTACCGATGTGACGATAACAAAACCGTAAAGAGGTGCACCAAAGACAATCAAAAAGTTTTGTTCCTATGACAGAAAGGAAAGTATTAATTTTCAAGAATCTGAACCTTCTTTAAATACGTATATCATTCATATCAAATATGATTTACAAACACTATCGACATCATGGAAGACAGTGACTTAAATAACCAGAAGAGGAAATTTTGTTTTGGCCATTGAAATCATCACGCTTATGAGAAAAAAAAATGTACCTTAATCATTCAAGATCCAGGTAAACGGTTGTTATGTAACTCGAAATTTCAAGTACATATGTACGTGAATGATTTCAAATTTGATTTTTTTTTCGCTTTTGTTAAAAACAATGTGTAATTTAGAAATTAAATAAAATTCGCGAACTTGCAAAAAAGCTTTTGTCATCTTTTCTGATAAGTGATAAACCCGTGAAAACTTTCTGCTGTTTATCGGGATTCACAATAATGTCAATCTTAACGCATTGGTCGCTCTTCTAGACAACCTGATATCGCCTCCAAAATTGTGGTTCTTTTCTCCTTTTGAGTAATCAATGATGCTTCATGAGTCCTTTTGTTGTATCGGTGTTGAGTAGGATATTGTATGAAATGGTGAATAAAGCATAGTGAATCAATCGTTTGAATAAGTTTCCGTACATTTTTCTTGTTTTTTAGGTCATTTACAAAAATTATTTTAATAGTCTTGCCAACAAATGAAGCTATCTGGAGTAATCACGTAATATGAGCCTAGAAAATAACCCAAAATATTACAATGTTACAATTGTAAAAAAAATTACAATAATAATCCAAACTCAAATTTAATAATACTAGGGCAAAAATAAACAAAAACAAAAAAAAAAAAACGAAAAAAACACATGGAGACGTCCAAAAAGTTCAAGGAGAAAAAAGACCAGATGTTCCGGAAGAGTAAGTGCCTTCTGCTTCATCGGCGACATACGCCATGTAAATCTTGTTCAATCCAAGAAAGTAATGTTCTCATGAGAACAAGGTATACAACAACGGCACCTAAAGGCAAACTAACTAGCATCAAACACGTCCAGTTACATATCGTACAAAGAAAGAGAACATTTCTCAATGAGATCGCTATGACGACCATAAAACTTTCCCACAATTTTCATCAAACTTCATCTTTTGAAACCATATGTTTCGAGTTGTTTGTCTGTCAGTTGACCACTGCTTACACGAAAATCATGATAATGGGATTTGGGTCTGAAAAAGTGAATCAACTTCAAGGATGTTGCTGTTGAGAAATTCAGAAACGGAAAATTCAAAATAGGGAAATTGAAATCATCACGCTTATCATATAGCTTTGAGGAAAGCTGTCCATATTGGTTTCGTCGGAGGAAAAAGAACGAGATAAGCGGCAAATGTAGCTCTTCGGTAAATTCAGCATCGTAACAAATCAAAAACTAATCAGCCGACAGAGAGGCGCAGTAGGTTCCCATAGGTACACCAATAGTCTGTCGGAAGATCTTACAACCAAAATCGACGAAGATGTTGTAAACCAGAAACTTGATCGTTTTTATGATTTCCTATTGCGAATGTTCCTTCTTTGATTTGGACGTATCTTTCACGAAATAACCTTCAGTGTAGTTCATGACCATATATTTGCACCGTCGTTCACCTTTCCTGGAAATGAAAACTCCAAACAGCAGAACGATGTGTTCTTTCATTTTAGAAAACAATCAAATGTTCTTATAGAAGAAAGGTTTTTAGAAGGTGTTGAATATTGATCAGAAACTTTCTTTAAAATCCACATACTATTAAAATCCACTTCTTGAGTAAACAGTATCACAGATTTGATAGCGCTGAGTGTGGCGGTCGATAATTTTAAAAGAATCCAAAGCAGCATGTTCCCGTTTCATTCATCTTCTGCCATAGTTTTCAACGGAATCCATATGTATCCTGAAACTGATATTCCAATCAACAGACTGCGTTTCATAATATTTAGTGCCCTTCATGAAAAACATCGCGTAGCTTTTTTTTCTCGTTGATTTTATTTGAAAGTCTTTATCATGAAGTATTCGTTAAGTCACATAAAATTCCTTTAAAATGAACAAATATCTGTTTGGTGTATGTAACATAACTAACCCGCCGAACAGTTATAACTAACGATAATTGTAACTCAGTACACAAGGAATAAGATCATCGAGTAAAAACATCATTCAGGATATGACTGTATCCTTCACATACCTCTTTTACGTAGCTTAACCTTTTTTAATAATGCTGAAGTCACCAGTTGCTATGTGCTAATTTGGGCCATAGTTATAAGTAGAGGTAGAACAAGGACAAGCTTACGGAGGGCTAGCTCTTAGGTCATCTGCATTCAGATGTTACAGCGTTGTTTTGCAGTTGAAAAGTTAAGATGCAAAAGGGTTGGAGTAACTGTAGGAAATTACAGGGGTAATTCTGCTTAGAAAGTATGCAGGAAGGCAAACTTGAACATATTTCTGGTGTAAAATATGTCTGAGGTTAATAGCACCAACTTCCTTATTTGGTAAGAGTTTCTGTGATTTTTCCTTATAAGGCAAACAATTTTTTGAGATAGGGTTTTATCCTCGTCATTGACATAATGATACTGGTTAATCATGTTTCAGAACTATTATTGGATTTCAGCTTTTACATTATACGAGTTAATGTCATGATCATCTTGCTTTGTCACTTATGTTAATTAACATATTCGTCGTCGGTTTTGTCTGTTCACTAGTGAGTCAATTGTACAATATGTGGTGATGGTCAAAAGTAACATAAGTCCGACTGGCTAGACGAGGTACAAGCCCCTATTTTTGTCATAGATTACTACTGAAAATATAATCGAACTTTGAATCAGTCACACGAAGGAGACCAAACTTATCAAGCCCAAGTTTTTTTTATGATTTTGCTATTATATAAACAAGAGAAAACATATCCCGATCATTGAACTAGTAACGTGGCAATGCTCAAAATTACTTTATATAGTAATCCGTATGCTTTAATAAATATAAAATTAAAACTCGTCTATGTCATATTTAGAAATGACTTTATTCTAACAATTTTAGCGAGGCTATAATTATCTGTAAAAGTTTCAGAGTTTGTTTACATTTAGATATATAACTACTCTACCTGACAATCAAAACAAAATTCTTAAGCCGCAGACCGTGACGACGTTTTTGCTTCACTGAATTTCGTTTATTTTCTGAGTATTTCTGTATAATAAGTGTATGACCATAATTTATAATAGGACAATTTTTGAAATACTTGTCTCTGGAAAAACGGTTACACTTGCTTATAATGGATGGACAGAAGGAAAATAGTCATAAAAACATACTTGTCTGGAAATGTCGTTTTCACATTTGACCAAAGATGTGGGGAACTGTTGAGGGAAAATCCTTATAAAAAAACAAAACCCTGTAAATGTTTCCTCCATCGAGTCAGAACTTCATCGGGTATGGAGATATGAAGCTGGTAGACTTTAAAATCATGTGACGTTGAGAGGCAATGTATAATAGCTATTGAAAAAAAGTTAAATTTGCTTTAACGGTAAAAATAAAATAGTGTTGCGGATTTAAATCGTGAAAGAAGTTGCAAGCTTACTCAGGTAAATTGGTAAAAAAAAATCTTTCGTAAGATATCTAACAAGAATTAAATTAATTTAGTTAATGGTATGTTGCTTACAAAAATTAGCTATAACAAACTGAACTTTCATTTAAAATAACTTATATACTACATTTGCCCTCAAGGTGCCCCTTGCTGCTGAAATAATTTGTGTCAAATATGATTGACTGCCATTGGCCCCTCAAATTCATTAAACCCCGAGAGGAGATCGTGACTGATTGAGGGTCTGCTTATCACATCCTAGCCCCACCATGTTCCCTAACAGGGGACGAAACACTGGTCCAATTTTAATAATGGCTAGTTAGCTTTTTATACATCTATATTCTCCCATTTCATTTCAAGTGATATTTTAAATATTTATACTATGGGGTTTGCACAAATACGTAAAATATCTGCGTTTTTGTTTCTCCATACATTTACAAATCAACAGAAAATAATAATATGAATATGACAAGGTTTACAGGTTGAAAATAAAAATATCTTATACTGGTATCAGTCGTATAAAATTCATAGAACTGTTGTGGATGGTTTCTTTTGTTAGTATGCTATTTAACCACAGACTATGTTAATAAGCATACGTGTTGAAATGAATGGTTTTCTGTAATGCAAAGTTCTATTTATTTTGTCGGCATTCTTATCGAAGAAACAACATTGATCTACAATAATACCTAGTATATGAACATATCCTTGTCATGACGCCATTTAAATCCAAATACTTCTTATCAAACAATATCTAATACCCAAGTATATCCCTAAATACTTCGCTGAATACCTATATACAGTATACCATGTAGTTCTGACACCCTACACTCCATATTTATTAACTTCACCTATATCTCTTTAAGCCCAAATATCATGCAGTCACAGATTTTACACTATGGAGTCTGGTATTTCAAATTTTAAATTGTAAACGTTTTGTGTTCTATCAGAAATATGACGAATCGCCTTTTTAATACAGATTTAATGACGATGTCTTCATTTATCAAATGTCGATTTTTATTTCGGTTCTCCTCCTAACGGAATGATACAGATCTTCCATCTTCTGTATATTGTTTGTTTGAAATCACATTCATCAGCGTCAGTACAATTTAGAGAAATGGAAAGATAAATATCGACATTTATTACTAATAAACTCTGATATAATTTTGATCTGATATGTCGACGGAAGCGAGAAGTAATTTATTAAGTATATGAATTTAATTGTAAATAACAGTCATACCAGTGAAACGAACAATATATATAATGTAGAGTAGATCGTGGGATATGGTATTTAAGTTGGAAACAATCTAATATCTTGGTTGGTGCAAATATCTTACATCATTCTGTGCCTATTTCGGAACTTCGGGTTTTTAATAACTCAATACTCATTTCTTTCATGACATATTTTAATAAATTCGCTTTTAAAACCTCTTTTTAAGACAAAACATAGGTCATAATTGAACAGGTCAAATGTACGTACCAAAATATCCTGAAAAAATAAACACAAATTCATTAAGTACACTTTAGGGATAATTGGATAAAATGTCAAATATTGACCAATCACATCTTTTGATTTTCTTGATGTTGCCACCTAATTGTGTCCATATTTCATCCACGTTTTCATAAACAGAACCATTGATTGCCTTCTACTGATCACTTGTACATCAATCTAAAACATACAGTGACCAAAGTTCAAGGTCCCTGATCAGAGGTCAAGGCAGCACACACAAAGTGACTAGTTCAATTCGCTGCTAAGGTGAGTCGTTAACCCTGATAAAGTTTATGGAATGGTTGTCGTTTACAGCGAATTGTCCATCTTGTGCTTCCGACATCTGGTGAATGTCATCACAGAGGGCGCTGTATTCCTTCCGGTCGCCATCTTGCACCAACTGCTGAGAAACATGACAAGGGCGCCGTGCGTATGTGAATCTGAAAAGAAACAGGCGAAGCGTTGACTTTAATCCTCTGTTAAACAAAATGTACAATCGAATCAAAGTTTCCTTTCGTTAATCAAATGTGAAAGTACAGTGTGTAATAAAACTAGGCCGCCATTCATCAAAGACAAAAATCTTCCAATAACATTTACAGTGGCAAAGATCAGCGATACCATTCTAAGATGCTTCAAACAAGATGTTAATGCTTAAAGTTAAAAAAAATCTTAAGTAAACTATCGTCACTTTTTTATAATTCATTTCACTAGAATACGTCTGAAAAATGATACAATTGAAATACATGGAATTTTAAGACTTAATGAAGATGCTTCCAAAATGTGATTTGTCAAAAATAAACCACAGGTGGGGCCATAATAAAATATACACCATTACATAAAACATTAATATTATATTGATGTAATATATGACATGGCTAGGATATACTGATATATATCCGTTGCTACAGTATTACCATCCGCCTTAAAGAATATTAGCTGAAGATTGTTATGAAGATGAAAATACAAAAATTCAAAAGACCGGGCGATTACATGAACATTCCGGGCTGTACAGAAGAGAGGGAACTATGAAGAAAGAAGCATAATCCCTAACGTCGACGAACGTCTTATGTTATTACCAAAGGTATTTAATTATCACAGTAAGACCTAAAGTTCGTACAATTTGGTAAGAAACCTCATTCCACCTTCCATTTCAAAAGCTTGTGAATCATCACAGAACCTCTTTAAAATCTCGAGAATTTTTCAGAGGCACCATTGATGTCAAACTAATTCATTTCGCCGTAAACACCTGTACTGCAGCTGATGCCTAGAGTAGGGATATCATGCTCCCAACCCCTCAGCTGTCCCGCGAATTATGTAGAGAATTGAGTCGGTACTTTCGTTTGGCTCGCAGGGAAGTCCTTTTAACGTTTAATATGTTATTTGTGTCGATTTAAAGAAAACTCTTACAAAAATATCTCCGAGCACTTGGATATACCGTCAGAGGCCGGTTACGGAAGTTATTAATTAATGGGTTTACCCAATAGTTCATCACTTGTAGCTTAGAAGCTCAACATTTCATATTAATGGCGTTCCTGTAGACAAAAAGCGGAGATGTTCTTTCAAATGTCCATAAATTCTAAGAACAAACAAATCGACGTGTTTGATGGGTTAAACAGCTGGAGGAGCCAATGAGGGCCCTGTCTGTTTGTAGGGACAAGATAGGGACCAGAGTAACTGGAGGCCTTTTGTTGTAGACTGATGGTCTCAACATCAAACACACTATGATTCCTGAAATGTTGACGCAAGACGCGGATACTCTTCACCTCAACACTCCTGGGTCAACCGATCGTATGGAAAACGGTTATTGATATAAAGTGGCTTATTTTGATCTGCGTTCCGTGCCAAAGGTGTCATACATTTACGAGAATGTCTTTTATATACACGTACAGTTGCACAACTATGTACACAAGTCTTCGACAGAGACCCCAGAATGAGTGCATGCGTCTATAATCCTAAAAAGAACTTGCCGAGAATGTTTCGATCAAACACGACGCTGCAGTTGTTTCTTCTACAGGTTTTTGCCCACTTGTACATTGATAGGTTGTATATATATATATCTAATGATTAACGTTCATCATAAAGACATGCTAGGGCGACAGATGAGTGGAATGACCCGTTACTGACTCAGACACAGTCGACGTGCATGTCATTTACAGTCTCGCAGAACAAGTATACCACGTATATATGAATTAGCATTTGATATGAAAACAGACGCATATGAAGAAACATTCTTATGTTTTATTTGTCATTTTACATTTTCTGCGGTTTTTTTCATTATTTTGTTACGTCATCAAAAGAAGAGAACAAACACGTCATTAGAGCTGACGTGACATTGATTCTTGTCAGTAAATAGATTGTATACTTGTTGTTCCAGGTTTGAGTGCGAACGTCTTAAAGATTGTTCCAATCCTTAATTTTGCCGATGACAAGCATGGCATCAAGATAAGCGAACGTGGCAGACGATCAGAAGTTTTGTGTAAAACCTTCCCGCGCTTTATCTTGATTTAGTGTATAGCTTTCCACGGTTGTTCATAGTCATAGCACTACATTAATGTCAACACTACGTCTTGTCCGTCTCATGCGGTGACACAGAACACTTACCGAACTAATCTATTTTCTCGAACAATAACGAAAGTAGAAAGGATATGCGCGACATCTAACTACCATAATCCTTTCTCAAATAGGAAAAGTTTATTTCTAAAAGCTTTGTATGATGCAATTTAGTTCATTATTCTCTATTTTCTGTGACTTTCATTGATATTTTATTGAAAAGTGATATTCATTGGTTTGTGTTTTGTAAACTCTGCCAGTAGATTCTTGGGAATTGTGTGTGCCACGTCTTAAATATGCCAGTACACAAACGTTTATGTTAATGTATCAATGCTAAATTTTATAACGTCGATTGATAATCAATACTTATGGTCCCTGCCAACAGTGAAGCTTCTAAATAAAAAAAAACCCACGGTATGCATCATTTATCTATTTTTACATTCGTATTGAAATTTGATATTTTTGATATTTTTATCAACAGTTTAATCTTTAAAATCATAAAATACTACATTTAAGATAATATGTATAAGGTTATTTTGATATGATTTACTATCAAATTCTTGTGTGAAGACATATAAGTATTATTTTCATACGACATAGATTATTTTGTATCGGCGATTAATGACGATTTAAGCTTAAATATAAACACAAGTGTATCCGCGTGTCAATGCTGTTATAGCTTGATCTTAAAACATTTTAATGTAAGATGTAATATCATATATTTTTTGTGAATGAAAGTTATTTTGAAATAATGAAAATGAACAACATACTCATAACACACATACTGGTATATGTGTAGAGGAACTCATTATAAAGATGTTTTTTTATTTTCTGAGACACTCTATTTACAGGTAGAACTTTAATAATCCACTCATAACCGGAGCTAGTAAAAATAGACTTGTAGTAAGACATATTTCTTTGTCATCCTGAAAACTGAGCATATCTTTCATGATTGAGTAGTTCTGTAGTAGGAAACAGCTGATAGCGAGAAACAGGTGTTCCGGGCTGACGTCAGAATCACTTACACAAGACTAATTTAACAGTCATGACAAATGCTCCGATATATAACACTCTTATGTTTGTCATTTCAAAGTGCATCGCTTTTTGCGTTTTAACTAAATCGTGTTCTTTATCAGTCGGAATACTTCACGACTTTGTTTTCTTTGTTAAGTTCTTTATTTCTTTTTAAGTTGAATAAACACATCAGAATTCATAGATGTAAATAGATGTCCAGATCACGTGATCCATGTTTAAACGATTGATGTCTCTTTAAATTTTCTAGGACATGCTTTAACATAGACGATATCTTTCGTATCAAACTTAAGACAGATGTGCTGCTGAAGTTAGTCTGAACTACTAATTGTTTGATAGATTTCGTCCTTTAAAATTGAAATGAGAGAACATTTATATGAATTTCATTTGAGAAATAACCCGACTGATAAAAACACTGGAGTTAATCAAGCTGACATGACATAGGAATATTTACCTCTATAATATGCACATTTGTAACATTAGCCTTTAAATTTACAAATTTTTAAGATACATATTCATTCTAAAAATGGTTAATTTTGCCACCATATTTATATTTGACATGGCTCTTTTTGTTTTAGTGGCAAATCAGTTTCTAAATAAGAGTAAGGTGAAAAGTCTCAATATAAACAGTTAACTGAGTTTCAAAAACTTCGAGATAAAATCTTGAGAAATAATGCGAAAACTTTTACAAAACTAAAATTTTCAGTAAAAAGCAATAGATTATTAATAACATCGGCTTTACTTTCGAATAAATGAAAACTGATTTGTTTGCAATAGAATTCACATCGTTTCTATTATGTTGTCATAGTAAGATGCCACCCTCGTATTCCTCATTATAGTATCTTTGTTACGGTACCAACTCTGAAAGTCCTAACAGATAGCGATTACTTCAAGGTTTATACGAAATGTGTTACTTTCTTCAAAAGATAAACGTTCGCTACTGCGGATCAAAATATGCCCTGTTTACTGATTTTAAAAGGAGGTGACTCCAACATCAATCATATTCTAAGGATCTTTCTCTTTACAGGATTCACACGTTCACAGATCGGCCAGAAAGCATGATTCAATTCATCAGCACCACTCTCTCCAGCACGCTGCCAGCGAACCGCTAGATAAGGCATATTTACGGGACAAACAGCTAGTAAGTCATACCAAAAAGAACCAGTAGCCAATTTGCTCTTTGTTCAGTAAAACTGTCGTCAATGTGAATAGAATACAAAAACAGCCGAGGTCAAACACAAGACAACCAACAGACAATGAAAAAGTCGTTGATGTATAGGACTCAACATTTGTGTGTGCGTTTTCATCAGTGTGCTCGGCAGTGCTTTATAATTGGTTTTGTATATAACTATATCACAACTTTCTTACTAGTTGCTTCATAAATGATATACACGTTTTGAGTATTGTTACGTTAATTCATCTGAACATTTTCTTCATCTAACGATGACTACTATTCATTTTTCGTGTGATGATTACGTTTTAATCTTATCCTAACATCGATAAAAGTGTGATGGATGTTGATATGATGTCACGTCATTTCTAAAACAAACATATCAAGAAATTTTGGTAGTTACCACTATTGTTTTGAGTGTTTGGCATTTCTTTGTAAAGACTTGCAGATCAAATATCATTCGTACTGGTTTCAAAGAATAATAATAACCAACAATTGCGCCGAGGGTTGTATAATATGATACAAAATTACATAACGGTATCGAATGGGCTCATTAGTAGTTTATTACATAGGAGGAATGGTGTCTATCTGGAACAGCATATCGCTGCAGAATTAGGTCGTTTCTGTACCGCATTGTCAACTTCAGGAATCTTATTTGTAACATGTAATTTCACGTTCAATTTCACAATCAAATGGAAATTTCTTGTTTTAATATGTTTTTTATTTAATTGTTGTGTAAAGTGATAATATGTTTTTGTATTTCGTTGTGTTTTTATCATTAATATTATTTCTAGTTGATAAGAATTCCGCACGATCGATGAGGAATCAAGATGACTGGGCTTATTTTGTACATAGTCGATTGGTTCGGACAAGACAGACGTCCAAATATTTGGTAATACATGTGCTGTTGTGCTAGGGTATTCTATTTCTGCCACTGCAGTCACGTGAATATTAGTCTTCTTCTCTACATCAATATTAACCAATTAGAGAGGTAAGATTCTGACGTGTGATCGTGATCGTAGGTATGTTCTGCATGCTGGACATCTACAGTACAAATACCCAAGCGTTGAAACGAATATGATGTGATATACTAAAAATAATTATCATGATTAAGCTCATGTCGACGAATTGTGATGATCTGACAGGGGTCTGTCTGTCAAATTCTGTATTATATAGTTCGACAATAGTACATTATTCCAGTACTCGGCAGGTTATTCCTGGGTTTGTGGTATATCGTGTTATTCAGTGGTGCATAGTCCCTACACACGTATACAAATTTAACATTGTGCACATCTTAAATATGTCTTCGTCACCAAATTATCACAATACCAGCTATGTTACAATCAGTAGTAATGTCAACATTACCACATTGTCAGTATTACCACATTGTCAGTATTACCACATTGTCAACATTACTACAATGTCAACATTACCATAATATCAACATTACCACAATATCTGTATAACCACATTGTCAGTATTACCACATTGTCAACATTACCACATTGTCAACATAACCACAATGTCAACATTACCACAATGTCAGTATTACCACATTGTCAACATAACCACAATGTCAACATTACCATAATGTCAGTATTACCACATTGTCAACATTACAACAATGCCACTATTACAACATTGTCAGTATTACCACAATATCAATATTACCACATTGTCAACAGAAGAATTAGATGTTTCCGCATATAAATTTTCCCTAGTAAAGTTACCTAAGTGTCATGATGTAAACAATTTCAGACAACTCCGCAGCTAATGTTATCTACTGGGCCCATAGGTTTAAGTATTTATAGATATATTACTTAGTTCAAATGAATCTTCCTAATTGATGTACATATCCTAGCTGTTGATCCGACGTTTAACAACATAAACCAAATGAAAGCTCCATCTTCCATCCCGAGTCAAATGAGTGTAAAACTTGAAATCATAATGACGTTTATTGTTAACTGTTACTAACAATAGAATTTTACTTGTAATATCACTGCACGCGAAATTCGGTCACGTGAGCACTCCTTACCCTTCTCAGAGTCACTAACCTCTTTGGTAATTAGTTAATGTAAAATTAGGACTTTGTCCAAAGGGGCTCGGCTCTATGAGATATTGTTACGTTTTATTATGACTCCTCGCTGGAGAGATGTTTGCAATGCATTGTTCTAACTTTATGTATATATTATAGACTGATTCACGTGTGTGTTTATACGTTTTTTACGTTCCTACCAAAGTTTTGGTGCAAGTACATTGCGCGGCTGTATAATTTTTGTTAATTTTCCTGTTATATACTACACAGTCTGTTACAGATACAGCAGGATCGGGTGTGTAAAGAGAGACCCCATGCATACATTGCAAATGCATTTTCTCTCGTTTGTTTGGGCGATTTAAAACATTTTAACTTGTTTTGTTACTTTCTTAAAATTAACACGGTTTAGTATCTATCACACGTGCGTTATCTTACATGTGTGTCGGCTGTAGCATAGTGTTACGCTTGTTTTATATAACGTTTGTGTTACATGGGTTTTATTGCTATGTTAGAGATTCTGCCATCGATATCGATGGAGTCCCGATGTCGTGAACAACTCAAGAGATTACTATCCGACTTAGTTGTGAAAGGTTTACATTCCAAGCCGTGTATGTTACTAACCGGGATACGCAACTCACGTGCTCTTTAAAGTCTAATTTTGAAGACGTCAACTAAAGATGAAACAAAAAGATTTCGCGCTCAACGTATTTGTGTTCTTAGTCTGGTGCCGAAAAGGCATTATTTGGAGATACCGCACGTCGAAAGAACAAAAGCTTCAGAAATGGCTAGCTGAGACAAAGAAAATGTTTTTAAGAGAGTTTGTTTGATATACATGTGTAGCGACAAAATGTCGGTTATGTGTGATTCCTATTTTGTGCCGATTTCACCCGCCCGAGTTCTCAAAATAAAAAAAGGGTGTTGATTGGGTATTAAGAATAAGAGGGGTTTAGGACAACATCGACATGGATTGGGAAACATATTGAGGTAAAAAAAATTGTAATTACCACAGAAAGGTTCCATGAAGTTCGGGTCAGTGTGTTGGCATGGACCAGGCTCCCTCCATCCGCCATGCAGAGAACGCGTAACTAAGGCGGTCGTCGGTGACGTAATTACACGACGCCGCCATCTTGTTTGAGTTGTCACTTGCGTCGTCTGTTCTCAAAACCTGGTACAGGAAGTCAATGTAACGAGTAGCGAGTTTCAGAGTCTGAATCTTACTTAATTTGTCCGAAGGTAACGTGGGTATGATTTTTCTCAGACTAGAGAACCCCTCGTTAAGTGACTGTGTTCTCTGTCGCTCTCTAACATTCGCCATCACTCGTTGAGTTTGAATGTCAGCTACACTTTGTGGTGAAGATTTAGACGACGTCGATTTTCTCGCCTTTTTACTACAATGAATATCCGTCGAACAGTCTGATCCCGGAGAAAGAGATGCTGACGATGACAACGACGATGACGACATGGATTCCAAATCGTTGTAAAGTTCGAATGGTTTGCGCACATCCACACTCACATTATGACTGTCTTCTGATCGTTTCCTTTTGTTTTTACGAGATTTTGAATAATTTTCCTGGCACTCTTGTTTAATGTTAGCAATGACGTCATGTGCCTGATGGCCAGAGTAGTCCAAAGGAGGGGACGGTTGCTCAGAACAGCGTATCCCCTGAAGCTGATGTTGACCAAACATACTGAGATCTGTAAGAACCATGTGGAAATCTTGGTATACACCGATCCCAAGTTGTGCCGCACTCAATACACTAATTGAACAAGTCTCTACTCCCAGGCTAATGGAACTCCTGTTATTTAGGGTTATGAATATTTGTATGAAAATGAGCACTATACACGTGCACGCGTGGTTCAATGGCGATGTACGTATGTGCTCTAGTCGGGGTGACAGCAGGGTATTTATAACAAACTCTTGTGAGAAAGGAGAATTATGTTTGTTTACATCGATAGGGGCGCTTGTCCCCTCCCACTTTTCCACTGGGCATTAAACTGGGGTAGAGTCACTTGGCTCCATTAGCTGTGAAACCGACTCTCGCGCTGTCAATCAAATCATCTCGCGGACCCCGCGTGCTCTCGCCGGATCAAATTTCACTGCGACGCGGCGATATCTTTCAGGGTCCGAGTAAAGGAAACGTAATGACAGACGTGGAAAATGGGTATAAAATCTATTCGTCAGGGATGTCAGGTCGGTCAGAAAAATTAAAAACTTTACCTGACAGACAATTCTGACGTATAGCGTTAAATTTGTCTCTTATCACACAATAAATTGAATAAACCAAATATCTAAATGTTCGGGTGCTGATGGAGGTAGGACCAGCCAAATCACATGGTTTATAGGGACGTGACCTGATCGTCCATCGCGTTATCGGTAGATATATACTGCTAACTGCAAAAATCAAGTCCTTCGTTCGTGTTTAATCTCTGTCAAATCACGGACAACATATGTGTCATAGCAAACCATCGGAAACATTTATCAAAGTAAATAAAACAAATTTTAGTTAAAGATAATATCTAAAGCTGGGATCATAAAAAATCGTATTCACATGCTGAAATTTTCCGCGTTAAACATTTACTGAAATACTGTAAACATATTTTAAAGGGCAAAAACAAAAAATGTCAAGTATTCCAGATGTGAAGACATTTTATATGGGTTTTGAAAACATACACGCTCATTTTTACTACGGTGTATACAAAATACAGAACCTTGTTCGGTGTCCCGATTTTGATAAACGTTATATGTACATCGGAGTCCGTGATATAACGTACATAATTTCTGAAAATCACCTTTCTGTTTAATTAGGACATAAGAAATGTTTAAACCCATTATGATATATATATATATAAGCATCGTAAGGCATTATAAATTGATTGATTGATTGATTGATTGATTGATTGATTGATTGATTGATTGATCGAGCGATTGATTGATTACATAATATTCTTCTAATTTGAAAAAGCAATGACCTTTGTTAATAAAAAGAGTATGTGACATTTAGAACTAGAGAATTTGTTTGACTAAAAAAATAGAAAAAAAATATATATTTAATTTTTTTATCGCAGTAGGTTAGTTGGTTGCATGAGCAAAATACACGTTCTACCAGGACAAACTAACATGAAAAATTGGTACGTTTATTACAGAATATTACTGCACCTAATGTAACTTATACACGGATTACGGTTTCTCTGGGGTCTTATGGTGGGCGAAGTATGGTGCCAGTATGGACCGTTGTTGGGGGGAAATGGGAGGTGTCAAGAACAAATACCCCCTGGCGGGAGGGTGTGTCGGTTGATCCGCTGATCACGTTATCAACCGTATATCTCTCAACATAATTAACACGTCCCCGTTAATCCCCCATCTCGACCTCCTTCCTACACCCCTGCCGGGAACCAAGATGTCGTAAAACCAGGTGTAATGTGCAAACATCCATGTGCCAACATGGCGGCTGTCACATCGCCAACTTTGTCTCGCGCCGAAATGGGTTGTAAACAAAATCTGGTATTGACAAATAAATAGATGAAATACAACATCACGCTTTACATTGTACACAATACAATACGGTTTTGTTCTCGTCGAGGTGACATTTCCCGGAACCCTTACGATTGCAATTTGTAAGATGTGCAAAAAATATTTGATGTACATAGCCTATTGTTAGACGATGTTTGCCTACGTTCTTGCTGAATTACTGAAAAGGGGGAGATTATTATCATTTTTTTTTTTTTTTTTGTTATTCGTCAAAAAAATTAACGATAAAACGGTTTCAACTGTTGTGCAAAGCGTCATATTCCAATGGATTTAGACGGAAAATGCTTTTTCAGTCATATTAATAAATGATATGTCTTTTTTCGCTGTGCTATGTAGATGGTATTTTTGTATAATAAAAAAAATGTTGGATATGTATCATTTTCTATCTGAATATTTGACATAAAACAGGGAAACATAAACTAAAGCATGACTAACTATAATAAAGTTTGCATAAGTACAGGTACTAAACTCAAACCACCGGCCATGTTTTTCCCTGTGTAATGATCTCTGAATTATAAACATAAGGTTAATTAATGTCAGACTCATCAGTTCAATGTGTTCTCTGGGATTGAAACATGTATGTTTGTGTGGTCCTCGACCTACTTCCGGCTTGCTCTTGTACTTTTATGTAGGAACTAGCAATAATAAATTAAAATGGCTTATCACAAATCTGACATAAGTCAATTGGAAAATTCATTCAGCTTTTTAAATGCTATCTATTTAAAGATAATTTCTTTATAGTTTTTTGACAGAAAGTGGTGTACATGCATTTTGTTTTTATAAATATTAAAGGTTAACAGAGATTATCTGTAAATAAAGTTAGCACAATCAATCTGAAGATTATTAAAATTACTTATTTATGGATAAGAATGTTGAATAAAACAAAAATAAGATGAGATATATAAAAAAAATGGATATGGAACTTTACATCCTCCTTTGTAGACTCGTACATGTGACAGAGTAGTAGACCAAACATTATTTTAAACCAAACACAAATTCTCTTCTAGTAAAAACAAAGGTCCCTGGGATTGGTTTTACCAGCCGGAGAAAGGGACACTTTACAACATGAAATCTGACGTTAACTCCACGCGGTCGTGGAGCTCACTTCCGCCTCTAACACACGAGATCCACTTTCCCACGCTCTTTTCCACGTGCTTTCTCATTCAGAAAATCTCGAAAACTCATTTGGTTTTGTCGAGATGGAAGTTACAGAGTCCTAAATACGCTATTTTGAACTTCTGTAAGCCTGTCACGGTGGATGTACTTTGTTCATTTAAAAACCAGAGGAAAAATATTGAATCATAGGTGAAGTTGCTTATGATTGGTATCCGAAATTAACAATTTTAGAAAATGTGTATACATAAGTACCAATTCATCACGCTGTTTTTGCACACTGTGGACTTGACTAAATTATCTGTTTTATGAGTTTTTAATGCGCGTGCTGTTTATCAGGTGCAACAGAAATCTAGTTGATAATTTTTAAAGAAAACAAAAAGAAAAAAAATTATTAACATAAATTTAATATAAAAAATCTATACTTCAACTCTTAACGGATACAAGCTAATTGTCGTTTTATCTAGGACCTGATAATGCCCCCCGTGACGTCACTGGTAGAGAAACAGCAGTTAATCCCCAGTGACGTGATTAATTTCACACCTCACGTGTCATAATTTACAACCCATACGGCTGATTACTGATGCGGATACTGTCAGTCCGGTACCGACTCGGTAGCTTAGACATCGCCTAACGTAGTTTATCGGTTATTCTCTCCTGTGTAATCAGGTTACGTCATAACCATAGATAAACATAGTTGATAATTACACGATGCTGGTCCAATTTACAGTCCGTAACACGCTGGTATTGCTTGAAGCCCTATCGTCTACCCGACGTATTCGTGTATGAAGAAAGTTACTACGAAAAAAAAAATGGATAATGCATTTTAAATGTATAATACCCACATACAGGAACACACTATTTCCGGAGTTGTTATGGGTTTCCGATTTCATTTAAATTAACTGAATAAGTTTTAATCATCTGAGTTCCGAAAGTCGCATAATTTTTATTTTCGTCGTGTCTTAATGTCTGTTTTTGTCAAATAAAAATAACACGTAAAAAGACTTATACTTGAAAACTTCAATAACTTAAATTGCCTGTCAAGTTCATAAATTATACTTTAAAAGTGATTAGTAAAAATATTACACACAGAAAATACTTTGCAATATGCTTCTATTTTAATAGTACAAAATACACTTCAGTGCACGGTAAATACTTGTTTCAATTATATGGCTGGTCCATGCTTACACGAAGAGTACAGTTTGATATACAGTGTTAATGTCCATTAATCCAGTAAAAGGTTTTACACAAATCTGTCAATCATTCCTGTCAGCTGATAAATAAACTAAGTAGAAAAAACCAAATATAAACAAGAAAGGTGTTTCCTAAACACCTCATCCGGGTCTTTTGTAAAAGGCAGTCTCAGGTGGCGCTCTTTGTCAATGAACACGTGACACCGGAAATACAACTTACACCATGTCAATAACGGATCTTGTAAAACCACAGCAGGAGCAGTGTTAGGGAGGTGAAGTGTTCCGAAATTGAATATTTTCTTAAGCCCAACCTCAGCAATTTTATTAGACATAAATTCACACAATACGCCAAGCCGACAAGTGTGCACGTGCGCTGTTGTTTAAACACACGGCATAGTACAAATGTACCTAATAAAGAAACGATCGGATTATAGTTAGAGATAGGCGATAAATCGCTTTGGATGTTATATATACCCTGTTTGGTACCTCCTTTAAAAAGCTGGAAAATGATTTTTAAAACATTCCTTTAACAATATGGACAAGGCGATGGTATATCGTTTCTTCCTTCAATCAAAAATATTGAACTTTCTCTTTGAATGGATTTAAAATTATTGACTTCAAGAATACCATATTTAAAGCACTGACACTTTTCCCAATAAAGATTCACGATTTTTATTACTCTCTGACACACATACGCATGTAACAAGAGGTCATACAATATTTAAATCAGACATACCAGGGAGAGTAGATAGTACACATTAAAGTTCAACATAATCTCATATATTTCAGTATCATTTCATGGGCAAATTTAGTAGTATTTTATGGACAGATTAAGTATTATTTCATGGACAAATTCAGCAATAAAATTTAAACAGATTCAGTATTATCAAGGACAGATTGAGCAATATTTCATAGAAAGATTCAATAGTATTTCATGGACAGATTCTGTGTTATCATGGACACAATCAGAATTATCATGGACACAGTCATTATTTACATGAGTAAATTTAACATTAACTATAATGAAATCAAA